TTACGCCTGGTCATCAATGCAAGCAGGCGTTTGTCATCCACGTTATAGACCCGAATTAGGAAGAGCCCGAGATCGAGAAGGATTGGGAGCAAGAAGTCGAGATTGGGGTTCCCGAAGAGGAGGCCGAAATCTCGATGCATGCGATGGCTGGTACAAGAGGACCGACGACGATGCGGCTGCTGGCGTTGGTCAAGGACCATCGTGTAGTCGTGCTAGTAGACAACGGATCTTCGCACAACTTCATCAACACTGATCTATCTCGAAATTTGAAGTTGCCAACGATGAAGGTCGAACCATTTGAGGTCCGAGTAGCCAATGGAGAACAGCTAAAGTGCTCGGAGGATAACCGTGCGATACCAATCAAATTCCAAGGAGTCACCATCAAAGCCGATCTCTATGCGCTACCCTTGGTTGGATCTGACATTGTGTTAGGAGTACAATGGCTCGAAGGTTTAGGAAAGGTGACCACCGACTACCGGATGGGAGTCATGGAATTCGACTCAGGAGAGCACCGGGTCACGTTAAAAGCGAGCAAAGATAGCAGAGCCAAGGAGTTTGGTCTCAAGAGTATTGAGCGGGTTTGGCATGGGGACGGTCAGATTTTTATCGTCGAGGAAGTAGGCGCATACGCGAGCATGGTCGAGCATGTCTCGACGGAATATGATGGCCTACCTATCTTCGACGTGTACCCCAAGGATGAACTCATGGACGACGAAGTAGTCGAGGAGGCTGAGATCAAGGAAACCAAGGTCGAAGGCGAGGTGCTCGAGATTTGGGCGATCGAGCAGCAGCAATTCAAGAAACGCGAGTTGGTTAGAGCAACCGACCGTGTACTAAGTAAGTCCGACAAAGAAGAAGGCAGGATCGATGAAAAGTGTAAGGAGCCTATCTTCCCATTTGAGTTCTCAAAATATTTTAAGGATGTAAGGCCCATCGAGTACGTGAATGAGTCGACGGATTATGAAGGACCGCCTATTTTCAATGTGTACCCTGATGAACGCTTTGTTGAGGTCGAAAGAATTTTGGGCGAGTCCAATGAAGCCGAAGTGATTGGAGTAAAGGAGGAGATTTGGCTTGAGAATGAAGAAGGTGTGCTGGAGATTTCAGTGGTTGAGAAAGAAATTGCACACGTAGTGTATGAGGTGAGAACGCCCCAATTAATGGTCGATGACAAGTCCTTGAGGACAAGGACATTCTTAAAGGGGTCGGGAATGATACGGAAGTGGGTTTTGACCCCCGATGATGAGAAAAGCCGAGGGCCGAGGCTAACGGACAAGGCCAAGAAAAGAGCGCAAACAAGGCTTGCATGGCCTAGGAGACGTGCACGAGCCCGTATACGAGGGTGCCGACGTGCACAATGGCATAGGAGGTCGAGCAAGAAGCTCAAGAGATCGAGGCT